GTCCAGAAATAGAGGGATTCTGAGGTCTCTGGAGTCACTCTCTGACTCACAGGCAGGACATATGAAATGAAGTAGGGAGCCAGCCTTTTCTCCCTCAAATAGCCAACCTGCATTATCATTTACTGACGAGCCATACTCCCATAAACCCTAGCTCATTTAAAACACTACCTTTATCACGTACCACTTTCTTATATACGGTTCGGTGAATACTTTGAGTTCTTTCTTTAGAGCCACTGAACTTTCCATCTCTTGTTCCCCTAATTACAAACTATTGTAACTAATACTTTTGCAATACAGATAAATACTTAGTCTCTTTCCTTTTATCTCCTCAAATGCTTTATTTTTATTTTTTGCCAAGATTTTTTTTTCACTGCAAGAATTTTAGAACCTACATTTAGTTAAACAATTATCTTGGAAATTTTATTAGGATCCCACTGTATTTATAGATTAATTTTGGGGAAACCAGCTGCTGTATAAAACTGAGATTATACAAGAACAGTTCACATATTCAAGTCTCCTTTATACCTCTCAACTGATTTGGGATATTAGTATTCAGTTTTCTTTTAATGCCTTTCTAGGGTTTTGATATCAGGTTTATACTGACAGCATATGAGTTGGGCTATATTCTCTTGTTTTCTTTTTACTAGAAAAGTATGTGTTTGGGAGAATCAATCAGTGACATCATCTGGACCTGGACTTTCCTTTGTAAGAACTTCAATTTATTTCATGGATTTAAAAGGCTATTCTTGTTATGTATTTCTTCAGTGAGCTTTGGTAGTTTGTAGTTTTCAAGGAATTTGTCTATTTCACCTAAATTGTTGACATTATTAGCATAAAAGTAACAAGTCTTTTACTTTTCTTTTAATGTATGTGGAATCTGTTATGCTGTCTCCGCTTTTATTTCTAATTTTGGTAATTTGTATCTTCTCTTTATTCTGGCTAGAGGTATATCAATTTTATTGATCTTAAGAATACAGCTTTTGGTTTCATTGATTTTTGTCTATAATTTTTGTTTTTTATTTCATTGGTTTCTGCTCATTATTTCCTTCTTTGGGCATAATTTGTTCTTCTTGAAGATGAAGATTTATTTCAGACATTTCTTCTTTTCTAATGCCAGAGCTTAATGCTACAAATTTTTCTTTAGTTACTGAATTAGCTGCATACCACAAGTATTGGTGTTGTGTTTTCAGTTTTATTTAGTCTAAAACATTTTCTGATTCCTCTTGTGATTTCTTTGACCCATGAATTATTTCCAAGAGTGCTGCTGAATTTCTAAATATTTGGATCCATTCTCAAAAACTCAAGAAAACTCATTTGTATATCTCTAGCCTCCTTGGTCTCTCTGCTCTGATATGTCTCCTTAGCTGAGATGGCTGGACTATCTTTGGCATGCGCTGCCTGCTCTGTGGTCTGGAAACTGCCTCCTGATAGTTAACTGCAGAAATATAGGGCTCGCCTCATTTGTTTCTCTCCTTTTAAGGGTCAGAGGCCTGCTCTGCCCTGAGACCAAATATATGGCCCTGTTACTCCATCGTGGGCAGATTCAGAAGGGAGAGTTTTAGTTTTAATCCTAAAAAAAAAAAATGGGAATAACAATTGCTCCCTGTGTTGCACCACCCTGGTTGAACCTGTTCTAAAATTTGATAAAATGGCAATGCTGCCACCCCCTAGACCGAACTGCCCCTTCTTTTGGTTGCAATGAACCGGAAATGTTCGGCCGCTAGGGAAGAGCCCTGTTGATGGGCTTCACCCTCTGTGGTCCTGTCAAACACAAGACCCAATGTGTGAATATTACCTGCCCTACTGGCTCGTTTTCACTGAGGGTGAATCGTCCATAACCCCTATAACTGTGAACCCTGGAGCTGGCCTTGCTTGCTCAGTGACCGTGTACATTTAGGTTTAACAACAGAAGGTTTTGACACACTCTATGGAAATAGTGGGGTGTGCTAATCACCCTCTTTTTTTAAAAAAACACTTTCTGTGAGCAAAGACCTAGATAGTAACTTTCACAGTGAAAGTTACTGAAAATCTTTGCTTAGGCAGTAATCTCAAAAGACCTTCTCCCATAAGAAATCCGGTTTCGCTTTTTTTAATTTGGGAGACAATGGGATAGATTTTTCCGTGAACAGATTAGGAAAAAACACACATCAAAAAGGAGTGAATAGGATTTCTCAAACGGAAAAGATATGCAGCGGAGGGCACAGGGTCATTGTCTGGTACCTTCTGGTTAAGGACAACTGCTGTACTTATCAGTGGCCTCTGATGCTTTGAGAAGTAAATTGACTGCAGAAGCTATTTTCCTATCTTGCAGCATCTGAATTGCCTACCTTCCAAAATCAGA